TGGCCAACTCCCCTCCACAGAATTGGTTGTTTAGAGGGTTTTGACGGCCAAATTGGCATGATCCATGGACATTCTCTAGTGACTCTAAGTCACTAAGGACCAACCTGGGCAGCTCGGCCTGAAAGGCATGGAGTGGATTCCTTCCACCTGAACGGTCCAAAGATTAGGTTCACCCTCCGACTCAGTCTAGGTTCGTAAAGAGGGTCCCTACTCTGCCCTAGCAAAATATTATATATTTCATAAAATATTTCATGATTAATCATGATTATGTGGAAATGTGTCTTGCTTCAGCTCTCAGGCTTCAAAAGTCTGTCAATCCAAACACATCCAAACCACCAATCAGACGGAGTCAGAGCTGGATGTTCGTCTTGGTGTCCGTCACTCACGCCCCGTGGGCCCCGGCCAAATCCACTGCTGCGGCCTCCACCGAAGGCGGTCTTGAAGCCTCGCGGTCCGGTGCTCCAGTGGGACTTGGACTTCGCGACACCGGTGAACCCCAAAGTGGTCCGCTGTGGACGCATTTTGGCATTCAAATCACATGGAATAGCCAGACTGGAATCATTCGAATCACCGTCTTGCACCGGGATTCTGTTCGGTGCATCAAACCAGGCTCCAGGCTCCATCGAACGCTTTAAGTCGTCGTCGGCAATGGATTGAAGCAGTTCGTCGGACACACTCCGAGAGGGGTTCGCAGTTCGGTGTTGTTTTCTTGTCTCTACTGGAACTAACATTGCACACTGACAAAGAAGAGGCGTTGGTGAACTCTCTGGTCCATGTTGAGCTTCTGAGAAGATTGCGGTCTATTGTGGTCTACAACTGAATGATTCCAATCCTACAGTTCTAAAGTATGTCCTCTGATCAAACATGCCAGACCCCTGAAAGCTCGCATAGATGAGCCATCCTTCTTTCCGAAGCGCGTGCCGGATGACCCAAGAAATGCGAAAGACATGCCACATGCCACATAGCCACATAGCACCAAATCCCATGTCCAAGCGGCAGAAGAGCTGGATGCATTGCACATCATGGACCTTGTACCTTTCAAAACAAAGCAGGCCGAAAAAAAGGTTGTCCGGGTGCTTTGGGGCTAAGCATAAGCCCTTGGCTCCAAAAATTTGGTGCCCCCCCCGGGAATGTAAGAAAACTGCATGGGTCACATATTTTGAGCTACATTAGCTAGGTGACCTACGAAATTAGGGAGACCTCTCTTTGAGACCCTCGTGGAAGAAGAAGAAACATAGACCAGTCTACCCATTCATTGGGGGTCTCTTGCTATTAAAATACACACCCATATCAACCATACATCAATAGGTGGAAGATGGAATCTGGGCACCTCTGGTTGCCCCAGGTCTTAGAAATTGACATCGGAGGCCTCTGCTCGACCGAGCTCCGACCCCACTCCGAGGCATTCTCGTTGCTTGTGATTCATCGACAACTCATCGAAGCAGTGTGGGTCATCCACTGCATGACCCTCCGGTCCTCTTTCAGGTCGTGGAAGATGAAGGACTTCCATGTTAGCTGTTAGAGTTCAAAGGAGTCACCTAATCTCTGAGTTCAAGAATCCATCCCAAAAATCATATCAAAACTATACATGCCAACGACCCCAACTGGCCTCAAACAGCTCCAACTTCCCGGTCACGGGTGTTGAACTCTGAGACCGGCAGGTTGGAGCTTCAGCTTCTGCTGGACCAACACGGGGGCCCGAACTGCAAAGATGGATGCTTTTTTGTGATAAGATTACAAGCAAGTGGAGAACGTTGGTACACACAAACTGGCCAACTTCAAAGACAATGAATATGTTGCATTGCTTGCGGAACTAATTGATCGTTAACCGTTGATTAATATGGGACCGGTTGAGCAATCTACTCAAAACACCACAAACTTTGTGGCCATGGTCATTATTCATCCCCACCAAGCCTCCAACATTCGTCCAGACATGCGAATTAGTTGGGGTCAAAAAGAGCCGGAAGCACGGCACATCTTGTTGGAAACCTCAACATTTTGATCTGCACCGGAACTACAAACTACAAAACTACAGCCACACTGAACAATGTCCACCACAGAAGACCCCAACTCTTCCTCTTGTCTTCGTCCTTCCACGGATCACCGTCCTTCATATCACCAGTGTAGGCCCCTTCCGCTGCCCGGGTCACATGCTTCGGATCTTTTCCGCGAGATCCTTCTTGGAGACCTCGGACTCAACGTCGCTCGGTCCGGCTGAGCGACGGCTGTTGGTCGATGTCTGACTCGGGTAAATCCGAAGGGAAGGACTCGATGTCGTACTTATTTTAAGTGAATAACCAAAAAGAATCAAAAAGAAACATAAGATAGACAGACTTCTGAACTTTCCGGTGATCGAAGTCATCTGTTGTGTCTTGGAGCGCTTCGACGGACCCACCCAGGCGACGTCACCGGACCGGGTGGCCGGGCGTTGGCCATGCCTGGATGGATCACATCTAAGACAAACTGCTTCCGGCCCAGCAAGGGGTTGTTCTGGAACCTCGGTGCTAAACCGGGTCCGCCAGGACGAAGACGACATGTGAGTCTCTTCGGTCATGAATTTGAGGATTGTTTGGGAACCTTGGAGGATGGTTTTGTGTTAAAGCTAGGGCCCTCATGTGTTACGGGTGGGTTCGAGGTCATGAACCGGACGGTTCCCGTTTTAAGAAAGGACGAAAGAACGAAGCGAGGAGAAGATGCCGATTGGTCATCCCCAGGCGATACACAATACGGCCTGGTTTGGCATGCAAAAAGCACCTTGTCAGTAGCTGGAGCGCAGTCCTTGTCAGTAGAGCTTGCTCATATTGTAAACATTTAATGCTCTTGAAGGCGTGTGCAGCGTGCACAAGTGAAAATAACATTGATTCCAAACCAAAAGCTACTAGGGAACAAGAAGCTACTAGGGGTTCCTGGCATCGCTACTAGGAGCAAGGACGCTACGAGGGGCTCCTGGCCGTACTACTAGGAGCAAGTAGCTACTAGGAGCTTTTTCTAGACTTCTTGACGCGCGCTATAGTATATATGAGCAGGATTTCACCAGGTATGTACCCACTCACAAAAGGGATTTATGCCTTTCAACTACACGTGGGGTATGCACACTTTGCGGACTGGGGGGGATCGAACCCCTCTCCCTAAAGTGATTGCATTGGTGTGCAACATATCCCCTCTGGCAACATATTGAACATTGTTTCTGGCGAATTTGTGGAATCTCCAACAATAGTCTGCAGGTGTCCTGGGGCATAGTGGGAATATGTACCGATGGCAAAGAATTCGCAAGGCGGGGTAGAGCAAGTCCAAAAAAATGTCAAGCTACAAGCTAGCTACACAATTGAAAACATCTCCCTATTCCATGTCTGAAGTCCTCAAAACTGAAGTGAAAACAGTCAACATCTCAAGCTCTGTGGAAAATACACCCGGACCTTGCCCTTTCAGGACGCTTGTCCGGGGCCTACCTGACCAGGGACTAATTCGTATCAACTCCAACTCTGAGGATATCTTGCTTGTAGGTCGGCCCAGATTCCCAACCTGAAGGGTTCTGGCATTCCCAACCTGCAGGGTTCCAAATGAAACACCCCAGCAGTTCCAATCAACTTCCGATCATTTGAATAAAGCTCACTGCCCGATCGGCTGAGTTCCGGCACTTGCGAGTACGGATGGTGAACTCAGGCATGTCCTTAAAATCACTCTGATCAGGCAGGGACAATGCTCCAAATCCCTGGTTCCAACCGACCCTCCTCGTAGACACCGTGGAATGTGGGATCTGGGTGTGCCAGAAGCAATATGAAGTGCTTAACGCTTCGCACAACTCGTGGTTCACACTGGTTCAACCGTGGGCAGCCGACCGCCGAGTCCGTGGAGTTCCCGGAGTGCTCCCGGACAATCACCCTGTGCAGCCACACCAGTCAACCCCTTTGGGACCTTCTTTGCCAACGAAACAATCCATTTCATCCAATCTGTGAACTATTTGGGTCGCAGCAACACTGCAGTACAGGGTGACCCAGAAATACCACTTCTGGGTCACGGTCTTCAATCCAGGCCACGAAGTGAAGAACGATGGGAATCACTCACCTTTGCCGCGACGTTTCACGTTGCCTCCGGCACCCTGGGTACCGTTTGAGCCGTGAAGATCCGAAAGCATACCGTAAGCACAGTCCGCATCTGTCCCCTGGCGCTGCTGGAGTTTGAAAGAAACAACTCTTCGCCTAATAAGACAACGTGTGTTTTTTCATTTGTCTCTACTTGCCTGGAGGATCCTTGTTTGTCTGGGATCCTCAAAGGAAAACACTTGAATTATCTTGACATCTATATAATAGCATTATATGGCACAGTCAGTGTCATTATATGGCAGAGTGAGTGTCTGACCCCAACATGGGTTGATGTCTAGCTTGTGCACATGGCAGAAATATCTTGCCGATCCATCTCAATTTTGTTCGACGTCCTTGAAAAGTGACTTGTTTGAGGCCAAGACTGGTCCAACTCCTCAGAAGTGCGAGGTCAGTTCAACAAGGCTCAGGCAAAGAACTTGAACTTGCTACCAGGACCATCCTCAACGATCAAATTAGAAACGAATACCAGGGACCTTGAAGCCTAAGAAATCTTGCAAGTCTTTGGTCTTTGGAACCACTGGTGACCGACTGCAAAAGTTGGTTTAAACTTTAAACGACTTCCAAGGCTGTGAAACCTGCATTTGGCCCAAGACACCGCCGTCAGCAATCACTTGATAAAGTTATAGTGACATTGTGGATCAACGTCAAAAGCTTGGCTGGATGGTGTTTCTGATTGGGGAGCACGGTCCGTCCGGTTTTCTAATTAAGTCTCTATAAGTCTCTAGTCTTTAGAACCATGACCAAACTGGGAAATCGTACCAGAATTCATGGCTTGACCAAAAGAAAAGGATGGAGAAAAAAAAACGGCGCTCGCGGGTCACTCGGCCTTTCACACTCCGCGGCGCATGTCCTGTCCTCCCTCGCTCGCACATTCCCAGCTCACTCGCTCACTTAGGTTCACTTCTTGGAACCTGCCTTGGCCTTCTCCTTTCCACGAGCCTGGCGGATTTCGTTTGGAGCCACCTTCTCCCGTTTGGTTCCCTTATCTGATCTGATTCGTTGTCCGTCCATGTATCAACTGTTGACCAAGGTCAGTCAGGTGGCGGGAATGTTTAAGCAAGATCACCCTCATACAGCGGTTCTTTGTATTTGGGCTGTTTGGGGTGGTTCTGGGTGTGTCTGGGTTTGCTTGGGGCTGTTTCATCCAGAAAGGAGTGTGTAGATCTTGGTCGGACCACCTTGCTTGACCTGGATTTTGGTACGAAGTGAATCACATCTTTCCAATCGGTCACGTATCTGGGCGCCTTCTTCATCCTGTTCTTGGTGTCCTTCTTGGCACGGCGTCCTGCAATTAGTCAAGGTACAAATTGATGCAAGTATTAAGTATAAGTACAAGTGCTTCAAAAAAAAACAAAGTGTATTATGTAGGGTTCATCAATATTTATACCAACTATATAGATATAATAGAGAAAACATACACACACATAGACGCTGGCAAGAGAACACTTCGACCAAAGCCCGCGCTTCACCCCCGTGCCTGGACCGCTCTTCTCGCCGCCCAGACCGGCCTCGGAGCGACCGGTGACCGGTGAGCTGGGCACCGGAAAAGCCCTATGTAGGTCTCGTTTCTTTAGGCAAAACCTTGATAGGCGTCTCTTTGCTCTATAGAACGAACAACCTCCACAACCTCTAGCGTGTGCAGAAAGGGGTTCCAAAACAAGTGTCTTTGCATTGTGTATCACCTTTTGTGAACGTGTAATCCACGTTGTTTAGTGCTATACATACGACAATCTAATCCATGAATCGCCTCAATTCGTTTGCTCTTCACTGTTCATCTGGAACGCACGCTTTTCTTCGTCTTTCTAAAATTAAAAAGGTCTTTGTGCATCCTGAACAAAGATGAACAAAGAAGGCGTCTTAAGATCCTCACACGCTTCAGGCGGTACTTTGGCTCGAATTTCTTCATCTTCTCCAGATTCTCGTAGATCAGACCTGGCGATCCCAGCCATGCGCCATGCCAGACTGGCATGGCCCGGAATGCCGGCCGGACACGTACGGGCGCTCTGGGCCTTGAACGGCCAACCCTTAGACACCCGAGAGATCCCCAAGGATCCGGAGGTTTGGAAAGATTCCTTTGCTGAATTACCCCAAGGGTAGCATGAAGTACCAGTTCCTTCCACCAAGGTCGTACCTGAGAAACATCGGATGGGTTTTGAGTCATCATCTTGCGTCTGGGTCTTCCTTTCCAAGATTGACACCTGAAACAGGCTGACAGGAATTCGGAGCCCAAAATCATCCAACATCAAGGTCTTCCAAGGGCTCTGGACACTCCATCGCCGTTTTGCTCGCCGCTCCACGAGCTGCGCATCCGCACCGAAGCCCGAGCTGCGACCGCCACCGAAGGCCGTCTTGAAGCCTTGCAGGGGGGGTCGCGGAGGCGTTGCTGTTGGTCACCTCTAAGGTCACCAGAGTTGGCGTTCGGTTGATGTTCCCCATCTCATTCTCCATCATTCTCCCCATCTCATTGTCCAATGCTCACCATGCAAATGGACCATGCATTCTTTTAAGATTGGTGGTTTCGTCTTTCCTGGTTCTGAGGGCGCCTTCATGAATTGGTCGATTTCTTCCCTGGAGACTTGCTGATGAGAGCTTGCCAGGATGCTATTCTTTACAACACCTACAGTACTTTGTAGATGTCCTTTTACTGGAGGCCCATCAACCATTGCACCCAGAATGCAGCTGCTTGTAGAGCTCAAACATCACACAAGTGTGGTTCCTCTCCGGAGATATTCTTTGTGCATACGAACTGCGGTGTCCCCTCTAAAACTGGTATGGCTGGTCTTTGAAGCCAGTTTGCTTGTGAGTTTGGGCTCACATGGATCCTTCCTTTCACACTTCACACTCACGGAATATGACCGAATGGTGCGATGCGGGAATGAGCTGAAGATATAGTATACGAGTAACCCAGTGACCCAGAAACAGAATATGCGTCTCCAAGTAGCAGAAGAGCTGAATGCACTGCACATCATGGACTTTGTACCTCTGACCGGCTCCGCATCTGCACGGCTCCGCAACACACGGGGCATCCCCGTTTTTTGAGGAGCAAAGTGGGTGCATCTTTAAAGCATGAACGTAGGTCAGCCAGAACATGGGGAGATGAACATCCTATAGCCGGCCAAGAACTCGGGTGGCGGAAAGGGTGGCTAGCCTCGCTCGCGCTTCCAAAGTGCAGCCTCCCAGTCTGCCGCCCCGGCTCACATGCTTCGGATCTTCTCGGCCAAATCCTTCTTGGAGACCTTGGAGATACAGTGACTTCAGAGTAGATGGCACAAGGGTCCCAAAAGTTAGGTGGTTTGTATGGACCTCTATCTAAAGGACGTCTTCCAGTTGTGCCATCTACTCTAAAACATCTAAAACCATTGTATAAACAACAGTTCACTGGGTGATGAAACCCTCCCACTGACCAACATAGATGTTCAGGATCATTCCTGCTTTGTAGAGGAATCTGGTCTTCTACCAAAGCATTTGCACTGGGACCATGTGCTGTGGCCAAACTATGAATATAGCATCATATACTGCATTGTACTACCGAGGACAACAATCTCCGAATGCACAGCGGGTGCAAGTGAAAGGCTCGAGCATCCTTGCTTGTGGGCCAAGCTACTGGGTTGGAAGGCTCAGTCTTAGGAAAGTGTCACAAACAAATCCTTTGCAAAAGCGTTCCTCTTGGAGCAGAAAAGGGCCTGTGTAGACCTGATACTTTTGGTGGTGAAACCCAAAACAGCTGGCCAAATCTGTCAGAATCATCTAACGTGAAAACACGTTTCCAATGCCCAAGGAATGATCAATTGATATAAACACTCTCAATCCTATGCTTTTCAGTCCCCCAAATCGAATAGTACCCTTGTATGAGCTGAGTTTACTGGGAATCACCGGCACCCCCCCGACTGTTCCATTCTTCTGCGTGGAGATGAGCCCTGGGCTCCCCACGTTGGCCATGCCTGGATGGATGACATCCAAAACGAACTGCTTCCGGCCCAGGAGAGGATTGTTCTGGAACCTCGGTGCTGAAAAACCGGGTCCGGTGCTCCATGAGTCATGTGTGGGCGCGTTGCGCTTCTTTGGTTCCAAGGTCATGAATTTGAGGATTGTTTGGGAACCTTGGAGGATTGTTTTGTGATAAAACTAGGGCCATCTTGAGCTGTCTTCAGCTGCTAGCAAACGAGCTACCTAGCTCCCGCAAGCGCGATGCCGAGCGAATATGTTAAGATCTTCGCACCTCAAAACTCAAGATATGTTGAAGAGAGATTCATCATCAGTCTTGCTCAAACTGATGACACCCAGACTGTTGACACCTCTGGTCTAGTCACCCAAGCAAGCACAGACCCATGTGCCAGGCAGCACCTGGGTACCAATGAACGAAGGGTTGTTCATCTATAAAATCATTACCCAGACACTCCATGTATGCCATATATGCCTACATTGACTCCCCAAACCACCCCAATGTAGGTATATATGGCATACATGGAGTGTCTGGGTTATTGGTTTATTGATGTTTGACATTTACATTTGAGCTGGGTAGATCGAAGCTGCAACAGGACAAATGGCTCAATGAGGACTTCAAACTTCGCAAAATGAAAGGATAAATCCTAGCTATATATATATGTGTTTATAGTATATACGTGTATGATATAGCGTCTAACAGTATGTTTTATGTTGTCTTATGTTGTTAGATGTGTTTGACTTCTGCCAGTAGTTATGTATAGTTAAACAAGTACCAAGTGAAACCTTTCTGTGCTCCCACACTTACGAGTGCGGATGGTGAACTCAGACATCTCCTCAGATGCGGTGTGGCCAATAAGGTTGGATTGAATTCATCATAGACCAAACATCAAAGATCAAGGTTGGGCAGCACTGGGAAGGAAGGTCTTAGTCTTACTGTGATTGCGAGTCTTGCTGCGACTCCGCCAGTCCTGCAATGTCCTGCAAAGAAGAACACAAGTATATGATTATGCGATTCAGGACGTATCATGATCTAGTTTCCCTGCTCAACACAAACTCCACCAACAAAAGCAATCGGGTTCATACCATCCCACTACTGCCTCATAAGGCCAGTATTGATGCAGCCTTTCTCTCCGGGTCACACGAGTAGTCGCGGGGGAGCGGTATTATCCTTGAAAAGAAATGCAAAAACATATAAAAACATATGGGGAAAAAAAGGACCAGTCTCACGTCTGACATCTTCCAAGCCGAGCATCGAAAGTCGACTGTCGACGCTCACTCTGACGGTGGGTGTGACTGGTCTGCGCCCTTTTTGAGCCAAAGGAAGCGCCAGGCCAGCGGCCAAGAAGATTGTAAACTGACTGGTGCGACTCGGAGGGAATGGAAGAAGCCCTCAGGGTTTTCCTTTGGATTCATTCCAGTCCAGAACACTGTCGGTCCGGTGGTGTGTTGTGTGCGGTCCGGTGCAGTCCGGTCCGCTCATGGAAACCCAGTGAGCTGTGAGATGTCTTCCGTTCGAATTCCTTAGCCATAAGTAGCTTTGGAACTGGTAGCACTGGTAGGTGAAAGCTAAGTAATTTCCGAGACTTCCAAGTGAAGAAATGTCTGTGGGTCATCTCAAGACCCCCAATCCGTCCTACACGAGTTTTTGTTGCAAGCCCAAAGGCAACGACTCGTGCGTGAGCAGTGCGAGTTTGTCATGGTTTGGACTCTGGACCGCAATGATAAATGCCGAATGATTCATACAGTCAGACCCTCTCGCTAGCCGCTAGAATGCTTGCTATTGCAAAATGAACGACTTGGTCTGTTTTGGGGGGGGAGACTTCTCTGCCTGACCCGAATGAACCTTTCTTCTGACCTCTAAGAATGCTGGTCCCGAGCCTAGGGGCCTCGAAGGTCTCAGTCCTGGGGCCGCCAGGCCCTTCTTCCCATGGCCTGCGGGACCCAGACCTTCGACCTCCTTCGACCCTCTCCTGCTTCTTGAGCTTTCTCTCCCAATGTGCAGCGAGCCATGCCTAGCCATTCACGAGCCATGCCTGGCCTCCCCATGATGTCACAGGTATCGATCGTTAACGATCAATGTCTATGATGGACCAAATCTCTAGCGCCAGAGCTTCTCAATGATTCTCATATCCATGACCATCCTCATATTGATTTCTTATATCTGCGACCAACTTGATTCGCTTCCCCAAAGAAACCCTGCGACCCCTACGTTGGAAGACGGCCCAAGTTGACTGCCTTGCCCCAAGGACCATTGGGCGCAATGAGCTTGGCCAGCTCCATGGTGCCACACGTGAGGAATATGTAAATTGAACCGACTGAGCTTCCAAATTCGACTCGGACCTTGGATTCTGGAGCCAAACGCTCTGTCCTCTTGTGCGGGCGTTGGGAGTGAAGAATGTGCTTCCGGACCGCGGGTCTGTCAGAAATCAGCCATGCTGGTGGAATTGCAAGTGTCCAAACAGCAAACTTGCCCAACTCATTGCATGTTGTTGTTTCAGATCCAAACATACCACAAAGAGCGTTGGCCTGAAATCAATGTTTGATGGCGAGAAACACAAAGTTTAAAGTTTGGGGTTGGAGAGCTGAGAGCACTGCTCTGATTGGCCCGACATCTTTCCTCAACAGCCAAAACGGCTCACGATCTGCGCCATGCCAATCGCTGATTACAGGACTGCTGCGACTGCAAATGGTGACCATAATTTCATCTTCCCCTCATATCCACCTGTGAAGAAAGGGGATAGAAGACATTAGGCGCCATGAGGAGCCTCACCATGAGGAGCTACATGCAGTGTTCGCTGGGGTACTTTGGGGTCCAACACCTCTTGCCCAACACCTCACCGAAAACCCCACTGAGTCAAGTTGGGGGAGTTTAGGAGAGAGATCGAAGCATGAAGCTGATCGAACACGAGGGGCCGGATGAAATGCAAATCCAAATTGCCCAGGGAGGTTCCAGGGGGTTGGGGTTAGCTGGCTCTACATCTTGGCTTCATTGACAACTTGAAACAAGGAAGACTATAGTAGAAGTAGAAGATAGTATTGGCCCTATAATGGTATATATGTAGTACACATTTCTATACACGTTGCGAGCTTGCTCTCAGGTGGGGTCCCGTATCAATCGACCAAACTGAATGTGACGGTCTGGATTCATGCAGAAACTCTCACCCTTGCGATCGAACATCCTTCACCCTGACCAAATCCTGGAGCCAACAGTAAACTATAGCAAAACGTTAAAACGTTGCATCCAAATTCCGTTCGACAATCCGTTTCAAATGTTCAAGCTCTTTTTCTCCGAAACTGTTCTTGTTGTTAGCCAGCTATTCAGGCCTCTTCCTTTCCATGTCGCCAGAAAGGCTTCGACCTTGACTGCGGAAACGCAACAGGTGGGCCAGAACGTAGCCGCTGTGGGAGGACCTCACCTTATGCATCCTCATACCATCTTGTACCTCGCATGATTGCCTGCTCCTACTTCACTAATAATCAAACCCCCAAACAGACAAAACTGGTGTCCACTGCGGTGAGCTGGAAAAGCTCTTCGGTGCCGTGTTCCAACTTGTTCCATTTTTCTGCGGCAAAGTTGGGGCAAAGCGATGCGAACTTTAGATCCAACGCCTCACTGCAGATTCTTGTTCTCAAACACCCCTCTCCCTGTGTGAAGAATGAAACAAATTCCCTGCACGGTCTTCTGGTCTGTGCTTTTCTATGCTTAAGACTTAAAACATAATAGGTTCATCATCTCCTGTGGTGACTATTTCCATGAAATGCATGAGTTACCAGCTGCTTCCATGACTTGAGTCAAAAAGATGTGTAATATTGTGTGCCCCTACTCTACTTATAGGTCTCCAAACAGGACATCAACAGGCTTTGCACGTTCGGACGGCTTTCAGACCCAAAGGGTCACCGGGTCTATGTCTACGGAGGGAGGGTCGGAATATACATGTCTTCTAATGTATGCAGGTGGGGGGGACAGGTATTGAAACGGTTTTTGCAAACAGGGGGGTTGAACACAAGGAAAAGGATGCATCAGTTAGAAAATTCACACTTTTCCTATTCGTCGGTGTTTCTGGAAACGCCGGTATTGGGATATCTTTGAAAGGCAGGGAGATCAAGACCCGAATTGTTTGCATATAGGGGCACTCACCTACGCACATCTACATTTCTTGGGCACTTGCGGCCATTGCACCAACAAGGGGGGACAAGGTCAACACAAATCTCCAAAATGTATGAACAGAGCGGGAGAGACTGGTCGCTTGGTTTCCAAGCGTGTGGAACAGGGAGGGTGAATCTAGACAAAAGATTGCAAAAGAGCGCCCGTCAGTGATTTGAGGCTTGCTGGGTGGCTGCTGCAAAACGACACGGGCGGGGACCAGCAGGCAGTTGGCAGGCAATCTGCTGGCCGTTGAACGGGCTGCTGGCAGCTACCGTTGGGAAAGCTGGGGTATTTGGAAGTAGTACGGGTTCGGTTGCTGGATTTGTCTGCAACACTGGCAAGTAACATGGTTTCACAGGAGCCTGGGCTGGCAAAAGTCGCGCACGTAGCAGCTTGGTCAGGTTTGTCTGCTCTCGTGGCCGTGGCAGCAAATATGGCTTGTGGCCCTGGCGGCAAGCAAGGCTTGCAGTTCCAGACAGTGTCACGCCTTTCTTGTTCAAGCTCGGCCTGGCCGTGGGTTGGAGGCTACACAGGTTTCTTTGAGTGTTCTGCGGTAGTTTGCCCTATTTCGCCCGCTGGACAGTAGAACGGAGGCGCAGGACGGCGGCTGGGACCGGCAACTGGCGGCGGTGCCACTTCGGAGGACGGCGGACATCTCTCTTGAGCAAGAAGCCGCTGAGAGATAGGAAGAAATGATGGCATGCAATGCAAGGAAAGCATCTAAGCAACCAATTGTTTGAGAGACACTCGTCTCAAAGAGGCAAAATACCAAGGGAAATGTATGCAAGGGGGCGGGGGACATCATATAATAACTATATATAGTTGTATAATCGTGTTATTGGCCAAGCTGCTGGCAAGAACGATGGAGAACACGCATATGCCATGGTTGTTTTGCATGGCTAGGGGAGTCTGCAATGCCAAAGGCCCAGTGCAAATTGTATGAAACCATGGGGTCGAACCATTCTTAGGATATCATAGAGAAATCTCTGGAAGATTCTGGAAGCTGATTTTCCTGATATGAAAGGGGGGCCGGAGGACATCCATACTCATCATATCATGAAACATACAAGTTCAAAAAAGAACTCTGTATAAAATCACTTCCCAAGGAATGGAATCTGGAGACCAAGAAATTAATTACAATTTTAAAGGGGGTATATACACCTCTCTGAATCTACATTGATGCTTCTGTGACCCGGTGATCCCAAAGGCTCAACCAGGACACGCCACACAAGAAGCTGTCTCTCTCTTCGGGGCTCCAGGCGTCTGAGGAAGCACCTTTTGCTTCCTGGAGACTCCAAAGACTTTGAACTCACAACAATTTTGAGGGGAGGGGGTATATCAGCTTGGAGTAGGGTGCGGCAGGATGGGGTATGGGTACATCATTGTACATCTAATATATGAGGTTGCAACCTGGCAACCTAGCAGAAGTCGCAGCAACAAAGTTGTTCCATTCGCAATTGCCCTACCTCTAAGTTCCAGTCCTCGGGATGTCCCCAGTTTACGGACTTCCCGTGTGCAAATTTTGGTCCTGGAAACCAATGAATGACACAGCACAATTGGCCAGAACATTCCTGAGGAATATGGAATAGTAGTTTCAACAAATGAAGCACAGGACATTCAAAGTTGCAAAATACGATACAAGCGATGCAAATGTATACCGTCAACAGGGCTCTTTTGCTTCTATGTCCCTTTGCTGGTTGACTTCTCAGCAGCACCTAAAACTGTTGAAGCTTTGCTTCAATGATGGCTGGATGAGGAACCCAGCTACTGAGTCACGCTTTCTGCCCAAAAGACAACTTCACAGTTTACTGGCGAGATGTTGAACGAGGAGGATGTTTGATGTTCCCGAGTGGATTTCCTCTGTGACGCTATTCCCGAATCTTATTCCACCCACCGGGCGTACGACAAACACCGAGCCTCTCCAGCTCCTTTAAAATGGCCAAGTAAGGTGAGCACCTTGTAGATGATATGCGGAATGCGCAGCGAAGAACGTGTATATATTCTGCAAATTTTTGGGGTGACCGTTTGTGGCTCCCTCAATTTGTTGTGGAGCTGTGACCAAACCTGAACATATCTGGACACCATGGGACCTCTGTCAAACGTATGTGCGGGAGGACGTATCCGCGAGGGACACCACCGGAGCCCGCGACTCGGAGGAATCCACCGGAAGTCACCAGAATCCCAGGGAACTTTAATGGACATGAACTAGGTTAGCATGTTCTGGGTGAAGATGGTTCGCAGAATATCAGAATATCCAAAGATAAAGGGACATGCTCAATTGACAGAACAGTACAAATACCCTGGAGAACTTGGGTGTACCACTCTTCCTCAGGGTCATCATTGATGAAACTGAGATAGGTCATGCTAGCACATGACCACTTGATTCACACGAGCCTTCCTTTGCCTCAAATGCCGAGTATGTGCCCTGCATTCCTATCCAAATCCATCAACTTTGTCTGTGCGAATCCTCAGAACAAACTGTTGGCTTGCAGCTTGCTGCCTGTATGAAACTCTCAGTTGTTAAGGTTAAAGTTAGTATCGGTGTGTTTTTTTCATGCTGACCCATACCGCCGTGGTGTGTTCGGAGAACTACATGAAAAAATTGTCTGGAGAACCATGTGCATCTGTTGTGTAATTGGATCTATCCTACAACCAGGGCCTCAGTGGATGATGATGATTTGCTTGCTTACTGACTGTTACAGGTCATCGGACAGACCCGATCTGTGCCGTATGGCTGGAGCTCCTCGCTCGTCTCGCCCCGATCGTCGCGACCTGTCCGAACCTTTCAGGCGGTCGGTCGTGGCCGGGGGGTCGTTTTGGTCCCACAGAAGCGGGTTGAACATGCCGTGTGGCTCTCCCCCGTTGATTCCATGAAGTCAATGTGTCCACAAACACGGGGATTCGGCTTCCAGGGATGCGTGATGTTTGGGTCCAAACCGAGTCCAAACACATAAAAGCAACAAAAGTGAAACTACTTTCAATGGTTTTCCATTTTCACTTTCCGTTGCATTCCTGGAGCCTCGTTCTCGATCCTCTAAGCACCTCCCAACCAAGCCACACGCTGCCGGACACCGTCGGATCGGACCTCAAAACACCGCCCGTTCCACCGCGGCGGCGCACGAGTCGAGGGCACGAGTTCGGACGTGACGAGTCTGGGGATGTTTTGACGTGAGTGGAGGGCCGAAATGGGCCGAGATGTGCGAAAAGATGCGGAAAAAAACGCATGCATGAGATCAACCACATGACTCTGATGAGATCAACACAGATCGTATCGCCTTGCATGTTCAGACTGCCCCCCAACCCCAGTTAATCTGCGGTGCGAGGATGGTTTGGGTGCCACATACACTGGGGCAAGTGAATGGGCGTCTGCCTACCATGTGGGACCTCCATCTGACCTGCAAACGAATGTATCAAAAAATTCAGAAGCAGGCACCATCTAGCATGCCAGCAAAGCAAGACCCTCAGGGATGTTGGGCTGGTCGTTCTGTAAATGCTTCGAGGGATTGGTGATGCTCCTGAAGAGGTGGCCCCTTTTGCAGTGCAACTCACAATCTACTGTGCCAGGGATTGTTGCTCAGCACCTCCACGTGGTTCAAGGCGGCACTTGCATCATTCATTGCCACATGTCGGTCCACCAAAGATCCACAACGTCGGAAGCACGTCATCGCCCAATCAGCGTACTTGGTCTGTGCCTTACTTGGTCATCGACACTCAAGTAGCACCCTCTTGCGATGCCTTAGGATGCCTTGTGAATGCCCTATGGTGCCAAACGCCTTGCTCATTCGGGCTCGATAAGGAAGGCTGTAGATGTGCTCCTTCTTGAAGATCTGCTAGCTTCATCAGCTTCCTGTGGCGGCACCAAAAATTCCATCAAACATCTTTCAGTTTGGCTTAATCATTGGAGTTCTCCAACATCCCAAGCACACACTTCCGGGAAGATAGGGGATGATCTACATCCGGTTCATCCAAAACTCTCACCACATCCCAGTTGGCAATTGAAGCTGCCAAGTCTTTGGGCGTTCGACCCTCAATATTCTTGGCATTTCTCTTGGCTCCAGCAGTGACCAAGTACCGCACCATCTGCAAGGCGCCGTGGTCTGCTGCCAAATGCAACGGGGTCAAAGCATGTCGCTCGGTGACGGCATCTTTATTGGCTCCTGCTTCGATCAAGAAACACACCAGTTCCAGGCAAGAGTTCTCAGCAGCCAAATGCAAGGGTGTCCACCCGTCGCAATCAGTCGCCTCCGTGTTCGCTCCAACTGCAACCAAGTATTTGGCCACTGCCACAGAGCCACTTCGAGCTGAGCAGTGTAAGGGCGTCCAATCGTCGACCTAGAGTGAGCCAATGACCATTTCAATACCACCCAAGCTAGGTCAGACCCCATGTTTGTCGGCTAAAAACAAGGTTACAGTGCCTGACGTTCTTTTTTTTATACCGACGTTGTTTTGGAGGAGGTGAAAGTGCTGAAGGGGTTGCTCGGAAGGCCTGTTTTTAGGTGTTTCGGTGCAGTTTTGAACAGTTATAGTTATAGTTATTAAGATACCGTATTTTTCCGGTCTTAAAGTGTTGCAGGACTCGTCCACCGGCGTCCCCCGCCCAGGTGAGCCAAACTGTCCGATGGCCGAGAAGCTCAAGTCATCCAGAACCCGAAAACCCATGACATTCTAGGACCTAAGAACACCAGACATATTGCACCTCTCTCTGGGCAAGGGCACCATCGTAAACACCCCATCCATCGCGTAGCATCAAGAGCGTTTGCAAGTACAAGTGACGTGAAAAGAACCCCACCCCACCCCATCCATCACACAGACATCCATAAACGCCATGGCCCCTTAGGGCCCCTGCTAGCCACCAAAAACATGGCTCCACTCATCACGGCGGGCGTTTGACCCGTGACCATTGTGAGACTTGTCTTCTTTACTGCACTACATTCAGTTACCGAGACTGCGACACCCCCGTTCAAAGGCCCCCCCTTCGCCATGGCCCGGTGATCCTCTCGCTCGAAACGGTGAGAAAGCAGTGGGAAAGCGGTTCCTGGACACATGGAGGTTCCATGAATTGGATCTGGTCGACCCACCTCCAGGACCTCAATGTCGGCGCCTGCTTCGACCAAGTACTTGGTCACCTCCCAGCTGTCTTCGGTCGCTGCCACGTGTAAAGCCGTCTGTTCCTCCAAATCTTTCGCCTCCTTGGATTTCTGCGATTCTCTGTTCCGAACTCTTCAGACACCCCCCCCAGGCCGGAAAAAAAGGAGCAATATGTGAAGACCATCTGAAAAGGGAGTGTATCCTAGATCATTCTAGTCCAAAGTAGACCTTCCTCTCTCAACTCCTCCGAAAAAGGCCGGTGAAATGACCGGCGAGGCGACCCAGGCCGGGGACAAAGGCCGGTGGAGCCGCCAATCCCGCCGAGCTTTTGCGTGGACGTCACCTGCTCAAACAGCTTCCGAATCGTTCTTGCATTCCCAAGCAACTAAGTCGGCTTGTGCCTGGACTAAGCATCGCGCCAGCTCCAGGTGATCAAATCGGGCGGCCCAGTGCAAAGCAGTCCAGGCATCAGAGCTGTTGCTCACTCCCAGATTGGCTTGTGCCTCGAGCCTGATATTGGCTTGTGTTGGCCATTTGCCTTTTGCCTCCAATCACTTGTTCGTATATATAGTATATAATTTATAGGCATATCCTGCCGTACTGGCTCATTCTCCAAAGTTGATTTTGCTCTATTGTCTGTCAGTTGTGCAGTCCTTCTTCAACAAACGCATGTTGGTGTAACCCGAGTTTGTGCTCAGGTGCTCTTTGTTCTGGCTCCTGGGAAATTCCACTGGCCATGTTTTCAGGTTGACTTCTCGGTGAGCTTCCAAGAAGATTGGAAGAGAGCAAAACACATGAGTGTGTGTTGAATAGGGAGAGCTCTGCAGTTTGTCTCGTAGGAAGGAATAAACATGAAATAAACTGAATAAAATGAAACCCATTGAATACGGGAGTCCCCGATGACACACGCTCCAGGCAACAACAAGTTTATCACGTCCAACCAGCCATTGGAGGCAGCAGCGATGAATGCCCAGCAGGAGCCGCCCTCCTCTGGCTGCTCAATCGTGTTAGGGTTCTGCGGACGGTGTAGCATTCGTTCAACTTCAGCGAGACGGTTAGTAGAACATGCCAGGATGAAGTCTGAGTCAGCCCTCCTCAGGGTTGCTTCATATGCCCAGCATCAATGATTCGTTTCAAGGGGTAATTGAATGACACAATCATTACTCCTAAGTGCTATAGCCACTATATATAATATAGATGTGCACCAAATGACCCGGGAACGCAACGTAGCGTCCTTTCTGGAGGGCAAAACTCCAAGATCACCAACTGCAACTCAGGCCATTTGCTCAAAGGCATATCATCGTGCAGTTCGCCGCTCTCAGCTAAGAGCCTTTGACGAAATCGGGAGAAACCTGTCCGAGCCGCCAGACATTGTTTCAATGCCTTGATGGTTCCACCGAGCCCCAGAATGTGACAGAATTCCTCGTCATCCACTTCTGCGACTACAGCACCGGAGACTTGGCAGATGCGCATGTTCCCAACACCCGCAACATCAACAGCATGCCCGCAAGAAGGCGGCCCGGGGGGATCTATCCGGTCGGAGTGCTTGAGGCACTAGGTCGGTCCAGCATCGGTGTTCGCAGGTTGTTTGGCTGTCTGCGCCCCCCCCTGGGTGGAGTCCTGAAGGGAATGAACACGGGTGTGAGAAAAGAAGAACGCTCGCTCGCCCCATGTCAGAGTGAAGCTTGTAGATGAGTTCATCTGTGTTGGTCCAATATGCTTTTTCAGGACTGGCTCTCCTTTCTACCATTAGCACAACAGCAACTGGCAACTGCATGTGTGTGTCTGTGTTAAGTCTATTGTGATAAGTTGCACCATGCTCAGGAACACCAAACCAATACGCCCCAACTTTCCATGATTCTCCCATATCACCAGAAGGGGATCGTGTTTTTTCTCAGCAACTTGAAACGAATAAAATCTAATGAATCTGTTCAAGACACATGTGCCCAAAGAATCGATCGATCATCGGATCCATTCATCTGACCCAAGCGGATTCGAACGGAACGGAAGAAGAACGGAAGAAGAAACCTGCCGGTTCGACATCCCATCCTGCCACCTGCGGCTCCCGACATCTCATGCCAGTCAAACCAGCAGCGGTGGGCATCAACGGCGGCCTAGATAGAAGCAGTGCCCGTGCCCTCTCCCTCGGTCCCATCTCGGTACCCCCTTTGTTGGTTTGCACCGTGTTGTGCGGGCCGTGTTTGGGATCAACCCCCATGATTCGGCGGTGTTTGGGAATGAGGTCAGTTTCGCCCCAAAAAGGATCCAGCCACCCAAAGGGTTCCTGAAGGATTCCTGCCTTTTCATGCCTTTTCTATAGATTCCTGAAGGATCCGGCCACCTAAAAAAAATCCTTGCAGTTGTCGCCCCAGTCGGTTTTTGGTCTTGACTCTTGAGAAACTTTGTCTTCCCCCGACCGACTGGTTGCAGTCCTTTCGATCGACCCAAAGGTCGACCTGAGGGATAATTATTTGCATTTATTTGCCACACCCGTGTTCCTAAGTTGCTTCAAGATGTTCTTCAATCTGAATGAGGCCGGAATGTCAATCATTCACTCATGTGCAAACAACTCGCTAATGAACCCAAACAACTGACTGATGTGCAAAACGGGGGCAATGCACACGTCGTGTAGTGTAGATCTGAGAGAAATAGAATCTGGTGCAGCAAGGGATATAGAATAATGACAACAAACATCAACAAACGTTGAATGGATCGAACCTGAACATGGACCCTCACTCTTTGCTTGACAAAAAGGACCACACAGGTCTGTCGGACTGCATCTGATTGGACTTGCTTGAAAAACACCGAGCAAAAGGACTAAGCTGTATTTGGTCTTGCGACCTGTAGAGAGATGCTTTGAGGGGAGATGTTTTTCCCGAAGCCACGGACCGGGTTGTTTGCCCAAAACATACACCTTGGACGATCTCCCGGGCATTCCTGGGACGAGCTTGTCGTCCAAGCTGAGGATTATCACTTCTGGGTACCGGAAAATTGGAAAGGAGCCTTTGTGATATTGAGATTGAACTGCTTTAGTTCATGATCATTCTAGATAGGAAACGTATGAAGAAGTCTAAGAAGTCGATTCCCTGGAAAACCATGTTTAAGACCATGTACACTTGCATCAAATGCCACTTCTTATTCCTTATTCCTTGGCAGCACGTAAAAAAGCAAGGCGCCTTCATCTGCCGCAAGCGGTTCAGGGGAATATTCCTCAGGAAGTGGTAGAGATCCAGGCCTAAAAAGCGGGCAAACCGGCAGAACGAGCAGCTGGGTCGACCGCGAGCTGAAGGGACAAACCAAGTCAGGCAAGGACAACTCTTCCAGATACAGTAATCTGAAACAGCACTGCGGGGGTCAACGAGGTAGGCTATGGCAGGCTATGGTCAGTATCGGTCATAATTCTAGGAAATGTAAAATGGGCGACAATTAGGATGTCCAGCTACCAAACAGGGTTTGGGGGGGTCTTGGTTTTCATTGGTTTTCCACGCCCGTAGTTGCGTAGTTGTGTTTTGGCTTGAAACCAACAAATGGAGTAAAGCGAAACATCCAAGTCCTGAAAGGTTTTCTTGAAGGGAGGATGTTCTTTGACAAGTTCAAAACTGAAGAAATCTGGAAGAATGGAATGTGCTCAAATGGTGGAGGTCAATGACGATGAAGTCCATCCGGTCAGTGGAGATTCTGCCAAGAAAGAGCCCATTCTGGCCCATTCTCTAGCTAGCTAGCTTCAAAATTAATCCACCTGGGAAATCAGGAGGAGCCTCATGCAGAACGAACATCTCGTCAGGCTCCTCACTGCTCCCAACTGGGACTGCGGACTCACGTCAGTCATGGGCCACTTGATCGAAAAGCTTGGCCAATCCAGCAAGTCCTCCTTGGCCAGGCTTGCGGCTTAGCGCTCGTTTTCTGATCGTCTAAGAAGCAAATCCTGGATCAACTACTTAGGAACAAGCAGCTGAACAAGCAGAATCATGGACCCCCTGCATATCCTTCGAGCATGTAAAACCTGTGGCCCACGCCCACCTCTGCCAACCCACCTGGGTTATGACATCATCTACTGTAAATAATCTATACGACTTATATTGCTGTATACTGGCATGCTTTATGAACCCATGCCATCCATCACCATGATAGCCCGGTGGTTTGTTCTTCATGCTGAAGCATGGGCAGATCCTCCGGGCAAAGATGTCATTCAGAAATTCAGTACCCCTTGTTCCCAGTAGCTTCTTGCTCCTAGTAGCGGCCTCCAACCTAGCGATGGCCTCCACCTAGTAGTTTCTTTCCTTCAGTCTTTCCGGTTGTCCCAGTGGCAAAGGGCACCTTGAAGCCATCGCTCAGAATCACCGGGATGCCTGGCCGGTCTCTCAAGCGACGGGTCCAAGCGGTCGCGCCAGTGGCCCCTTTTGTTCTACGGGCAACCAGGGGGCCTAGCTTGCGACCTGGTCGCTTCCGATGGACCACTGGCCGCTGGCAGTTGGATCGTGGATCGATTCCTCCAGGAAACCGTGCTGATCAGCCTGCGCTACGATCATGGGTTTATCACTCCCGTCCTTGATCCCCTCAACCACGGACGGTGAATAGTTTGTGAGTCAAATCCGTCCCCCCAAGTCCCAAGCAGGCGTATTGGCCACCGAAATGGCTGATTCGAAGTGAGGCAGAGTTCGGACCAAGAGCCCTGGATGTCGACCTACAGATGTGCCAGATGTGCGAGATGTGCTTAATTCTCATATGTTATACGTATATCTACCAGCACGAGCCACGATCCCTCGAGCTCTTGGCTTCCTCTCCAAAAAAACAGACTGAAAAGGGCCGCCGGGCAGCATGGATTAGCACATATTGATACTGCGCCAACCCCTGCTCAAGGAACATGATGAACTCTTCAGTTGGTTGCTGCTACTGAGTACTGTTGATGGGTTGATGGATCATAATCATCAAAAATAGAACAGCAAAACACATGAGTTTCTTCATCGATTTATACAATGGGTCACACCCGCTCTAAGTTGCATATTTGCCCAAAATACAGCAGGCGTTTGAGGGATCTGATCCGGCCAAAAGCCTGGATGAGAATCTACGAGGCTCTACCGACTCATATCCGACCAAAAGGCGCCAGGGCCACATCCCGCGAAAAAGGCTTCATAGAGGTGGTTCGTCCAAGACCTGGTCATGGCAAGTGTGGGAGGCGGCCATGGCCACGGCTGGGGCTGTCAAGATGAGAAAGGCGGACGTTGGGACCCCCCTGACCTCGGGGACCGCGGTCGCAAAGTCCTTCTCAACGTCTTTTTTGACTAGGTCATTGGGCGGCTCTGGCTCTGCTGTTTACAAGCATAGCATAAGACAGCCAAACATGGGACACTCTCTTCCCCTACATCCCATACCTGATGAGAACAGTGGGACATGTCCCAGTTCCATCTTGTCGGAACATAGCGATGGTCTCTGAACCAGGAATCAAGAGGAATCAGAACCATCACGAACCCTCCAAAGTCAAGTTAAACCACCTACAAGACTTCAACGACCGCAGCAATAGACCACCATGTTGCCCTTTTCAAAACAGCAAGAATCCAACATGTAAAAGTTTAAGACTTACACTTAGAAGATGTCAGTGTCACAACCACCTACCACCATTTCTCTGTTCCGAGGCATGACCCGGCAGACGCCCGACCATTTCTCCCAAACGATTCCCCAAAAGGGTGTCCTTCACTTTCGACCGTTTCGTTCGAACTGTTTGGGCAGTTCTCCTTCATTTTGTCCTCTCCCAAAAAGGGCCCTGAACCCAGACCTGAAGGTGAACTCAATGGAACTTCAATGACTTCATTTTCAGGGTCTTTCTGGCTCGCTGTTTCTTATCCCCTCCAGAGCCATAGTCCGTGATCTGTACGGTACCATTGGCTCTGAACCATTCAGCTCCCCAAAACCAACCCTGTTGAGTGTCTCTCGATGGAAAGACCGTTTTTTGTTTGGGCGCCCAAACGAGGTTCCCATGGGCACGAGGCAGAAGTGGGAGGAACCCATGCCTTGGAGGATGAAGCAAACTTCTCGACGAAGTGCCAGGGTCTGCCACAAAGAACGTGTTTGAATTTCTAGTAACTAGTAACTTACTGAACAAGCGTTCCATGTGCATGAGTGGTCGTGGTCGGTGGACCTTGCCAGTCAATTTTGGTCTGAACACAAAGGCCGTGGACTTTGGTCGCTCTTAGCTTACAAGTGAATCCCTCTTTTGAAATCCAGGCCTGTGGACGGGAGCACAACACAGCACAACCAGTGGTTGATGTTGGTTGAGAGGGTCTGCCTACCACCTGTATCCACCTGTTGGATTGCGATGTCAACTCATGCATGTTCGCATTTGCCAACCTAACCGTGTGGCCACGTTTGCGTGTTCGGCTTCGATCCCTTGCGCGGTCTGAAAAGGATCGAACCAGTAACGACACTTGACACCATGACCAAAACATAGCGCCTAACATAGCGCTTGCAGGAGAAAT